TCTTCTAGGAGTGCGCCGATGCATTGGTTCAACATCGGCGTTGGCCCGATATTTGCTCTGCTGACAAACATTGGTCAATAATGTGGCATGAACCGATGTCAGTATTTAATGTGCTAAGTCAATTCAATGCTGGCATCTACACACCTAACTACTGATTCAGTAGATGTTTTTTATTAGGCAGATTAAGTCATCTGTTGAACAAACTCTGACTTGTTTTCATAGTCAAACATGAGAGAAAATGTTGGCATTGTGGGAGTCTAACTCTAAAAGAAGTTCTATTATATTCAAGTGTGAAAAATCACACATGAAGCCTTTAAGCTACTGTTAGTGCAGTAATATGTTTCATGTGAGTGTTTCTGGACTCCGGTTTTTCAGCCTCCAGTCGGCATCTGACGTCCAATTCTTAAAGCCTTGAAGGAGACCTGAAACTAGCGATGGAGACCATGAACTAGTCAGGAAAACGTTTACAGCATTCATACTGTAAACAACTGAGAATTCAGATTATTATTATTATCCCATCCATCTTACATCTGTTGACTTTTTGACTTTTTGCCTCCAGTTGAGTCGCCCCCTGCTTGCCACAGTTGGAGAATGCAGAGTTCAGACACTTTCATTTTTTGGCTTCCCTTTTTTAAACCAAGAAGTAAAGTACACTTCTATGGAACTATCTTTGATTTTCCCCTTCTCAAATAAGCATTTCTCTGAAAAAAACATTTGGTCAAGCTCTAATTTTGTTTTACAAATCGCATGTTTTTGTGGAGATTATTTCATATTAGAGTATGCAGCTGTTGATGTGGGGAATAAGAATGTCGCTATTAATAATGAGCTTTTTTTGTGCGAAGAAGCGGAGCCTAACAACTCAGACTTTACACTTTTTTTTTTGTTTTTTTTACCAGTTTAGAAGTTTCTAAACCCGGCCCTGCAGCCAGCCTCTACAGCTGCATGTAATTCACTCTCTGTGTGCCTTTAGAGACTCTCTGCATTTCCACCCTCTGATGTAATGGCCTTTTCTGACAGAAAATATAACTTAATAATGACTCACCTTATTTTCCCTCCCTCCCTCCCTCTCTCCTTCTTTTGATTACCTATGTCATCACACCTCGCGCACTGATTACATCCATAGGTATCGGAAATTGTGTGTTTAGCTAATTTATCTTGCAGGGCTATTCTCCCAACCAAAAGAGCTCCGTCCTTGTAATTACAACGGATTAGGGACTAATATCTAATTATGCCCTAATATGCTTTAATGCATTTTTAATGGCAGCTGGGTGTTAAAGGCAAATTGGGCGCTGTCTCTGCTGGGGGTGGGAGGTAAAGATTGAAGGAGCGTGAGGCTGTCTTGGCAGCGTCGGCTGAGGGGAGGATGGGAAACATTGATTTCTTTGGCTGAGGGTTGAGGAGCCGTGCGGGGAGGCAGCTGCTGCATACTCAAGTCGTTGTGCATTAAAAAAATGTCGCACCGGTGCCTTAAACGCAGTAAAAAAAATTGCATTTCCCTCGCTGCTGTTTTTATGTCAAAGGAGGGGAGGACACAAAACGCCTGTTTGAATTATGATCTGCGAATAGAGAGCACTTATTGATTTGCTACTTTATGAAGGGATGACTACATCGCAGAGACAAGTGAGATTGAGCACCGCTGGCAGGCGAAGAAAAGAGGCTCGAGTGGTCCGTGTAACGGATGGATCTGAAGGGAAATACAGTAAAGACACGCTATGGTGTGGAGAATATCAGGCCTATTCATGCAAATACACACACACACACACACACACACAATCTTTAAGGGTCCTAACCATAATGACAAGCACACTGAACAAATAGACACTCTCATGCACGCTCTCCTAAATGTATTCATACTCATTGTTTGTTTGTCTTCGCATGATTGTTTCACTCCATTATTCCATTCATCATTTGTTTCCCAGCTTGTTTATTCTAATAGGCTGTAGGAACAGAAAAAAAAAATATCTGCATAATATTCCAAAGATTGATTGGGATGCAAATTGCCTCGTGAGCCCAATCGCTGTGGCTCGGCCTGTTTTAATTGGCTTCTGTTAATTAATGCTCGATGTGAAGACAAACTGAATTACTCGCAGGTTTTTTTTTTGTGTGCATGTCATCATCGCCTTAATGGAGCCGGTATGGAAAGCGTGTGTGTGTGTGTGTGTGTGTGTGTGTGTAATGTATGCGCATGCATATTTGGTTAACCCTTGCCTCTCTTGTATGATCCGGTAGAAATAATGAAAGCATATTAACAAACACAGGTCATTAAGTTAATACACCATTAGGAAGCTAAGTTCTAATGGTTTAATCACAGACAGACTAACAAGAGAAAACACAATCTGTTTACAGGCAGAACTGAACACATTAGGCTTGTTAGAATAACAGAGAGGATAAACTTTAAAGTTCATTTTTACTGCAATAGATCATGAGAAAATACAACCCAAATGAATGACCGGATGACTTCACCTGACATATTTTCTCATTTATCAAATAACAAATACTTCACGCACAAGAGGGGAATAAGTCTGTTGTGTCTTTTCAAAAATAAATTGTTTCTGAAAGTGATGTATTTTGCATTTGATCAATAAAAACAAACTGCAAAATTAGCTAACAAAACAGTGCTTTTGTTGAACCATAGAATAATAAAATAAGATAAAAAAATTTCAACAAGATATGGACGACATGACAGCTTCCCAAAAGTGAAGCCAAAAACATTTGGAGCTCCCCCTGCTGACTTGGCTGCAGTATAGGTCATAAGTTCAGCCTCATCAATGTCAATCTCTGAACCCATCAGCAATCATCGTCTATCAGTGTCAGACGACCCCAGCCGGGGAGTCGAAGGCCACCAAGAAGGGGGTCGCAGGATGCCTTCCAAAAAAAGCTAACAAGGGAATGCTGCTTCTCGAGTCTTGCTCTGAGTGATGTCACCAACACAGTATGTCAGCGTCCCTCACCGGGCTATTTTGGCTTCACTATGTTTAGGTTAAATTTTGCTTTGGTTAATAATTGTATGTTTGTCTTTGTTCATTATTTCATTCTATAAATGTTGTCATTTCTGTGTCAGAGTTGTATTCCTTTTAATCTGTTAGTTGTCAGCTGAGTTTCTTTACTCTACACTTTGGAGAGTTCTGATTGGTAAAATGACAAAAATGGTAATCAAAGTTTATATAATGAAAAAAAACTGAGATGGATTTAAAAGTGGCAGCAGTTCAGAAAGCATGCAATGAATTGTGGGTAATCTCCAGGACCCTCTTTAGTCCTGCTGAGGAGATATATGTGCGACTTTGAGCAGTGGAGCTGCAAGATTCATATTTTCAGGCCATTAAACACAAGATGCTTTAGCAAAAAAAAACCTTCAGTGCAAACATGAAAACAGTCAAATTACATCAAAGGGTAAAACAGGAAACATGAGTCATAACGCTGCTCATCGTGATCGCCAAGCAATTCATCCTGCCAGCCGGCCGGCCGCCGAGTCGGAGAGAGGTCCTCCACGGACAACAAACAAACATATTAATGTGATCAGTCGTGCTCTAGACGGCAGAGAGCACGGCAATTAGCGCTCGTCTGTTACCATGCTGATCAGAGCGTCGTTAGCTCTGGGTGACCTTGAGGAGCCTCGTTAGGGGGAGTGATTGACGTCGCGACTGTTGTCAGGGGCGACGCTTGACAGCGGAAGGGCGAAGGATGGACAGACGGGTAGGCCGGGTGGCTGTTCTGCAGGTGGCAGGCAGAGGGTGCAGAGCAGCACCTGGGATGTTATAAATGTGATCAGGCTTTCATCAAGGATGAGAAATGAGTGATGCAGCAGCGATGTGAGGGAAGAGATGAGGCGTGACGCTCCGAGGTTTTTCTGAAAACTGGAGCTCAAAAAACACTGTTTTGTCTGCAGAGATGCAACACTTCAGTTTTGTGTTCAACTTCGTGAGACTTAATGCGCCTGTAACATCGACGGTATTTCAGAGTATATCGTGATGCTTTAATTCTGTGCATACTTCCAAATGGCCAGCAGGGGGCGACAAAACAAGTTGCAGAAGATGTCGAACTGAAGGCAAGTCCAGAAGAACATGACCCTACTTCTCACATGAGGTGAGAACATGTGATAATGAATATGTACATTTACTGATTTTAAAGAAACTATCGACTTCTTATCGATAAGAAAAGTTGGAATGCAAGATGTATACGATGTGTAAAAACCTGGCTTCTCATATTCCATTTAAACACTATGGAATCAACGAGAACAAAGTCAGGATGAGTATTAAACTCAGACACTTCTTGGTGTCAAAACATCGTTTTCTTTTCTTACTTAGAGGCGTTGAAATTTGCGTGGGCGATAGCGATAGCGCAGAACTTTTCTGTACAGAGCTTTTCCCATGACCAACAATCAAAAAGGTGTTACACCTGTTCATAGGTGCAGACTCACTGTTGGAGGGTTGAACAACACACACTCCCTCTGCGCACTTAGAGGTTTTTGAACGGCGCTCAATGAGACAGATTCTCCACTGGATCACACAAACGGAGTGGAAGAGTGTAGGAAGAGGGGGTACATGTAGGGAGTGGATTCAGAAATGCTCCCTTGACTCCCCGCCATGTTTAAAAGTTTGCAGCTTTGGGGGCGATGGTGACGCAGTGGTTAGTGTGCACGCCCCATGAAAATGGTCACGTCATTGAACAAGACGATTGCATAAGACAAGAGTAAAGCGATAATATTAAACACGTTTTATTTTATCGTAACACCAAGACGAGAAAGAGACCTTGAGGCCTTGACTTCAGATTGATGGTTCGGTTTGAGCTTTATGAAACCAAACGACAGAGATCACTGGGGAGCGCACCCTAACTCTGGCAACTCGCTCATGATTTTATGACTTACGTTTTACGACTTAAGAAATGTGCCTGTGATTTTTTAAATTGCTTGAAATGGCGTTCAGTGAAAGTCTGGCATTAGCTTCAGAGTAAATAGATATGGACGGCCTCTGTACCCGTCGGTGAAGGTGCATTAGGAGTACCTGTGATGTCGTGCTGTTTGAAGGAGTCGCTGTAGATCTGGTGCTGGTTGGGACAGTGTTTCTTCAGCCATTTACACACATCCTGTTGGGTCCACAGCGCCACGGGCTTAGACAGCTTCACATGTCCTGGCTGAAAGAAACCAAAACTCAGATTTAGAAACATTTCATCACCTGTCATAACACTACTTCTACTTTCACATTAAAACACAGCTTGTATAAACTCAGGCAGTTGTGTAAGTCCCATCTTTGGTGAGCATGTTGTTGCTTATGGCAGCCTGATATATGTAGCCTACATGTATTATTAAAACTTCCACTTTCCAGTCAAAGGATAAATGTGCTGAGGACTTCACACTCCCACAGGTCAGAGTGAATTCAAGTGACACCTTCCACCCGACTGATTTGGTCATACAATATTAACTGGTGGCTGTTTGACATTTTCCTTCAAGTATCAATAAAGAATTCATCTTTTAAAGTACGATAAGACACATAAGTCAAAGTCGGTAAGGTCAGCAATGAGTTATTTATACAGTCAGACTCTCTAGACTGACAATGGACATTCAGATCAATCTTGGATGCCGTGGGGAGTTTGGGAATAACTATATGCATGAAATGGTTTTGTTTGCATTTCATTTTTCAAATAATATTGCACAAATGATTCAGGTCTGACAAGCAGGTTGCATGTTTTTCTCTGTGAACATATATCATTTTTCAAAATGCGTCTTTCATTATTTCAAGCAGCCTTCGTTGACAGGTTGCTCATCTTTAGCAGCACATAGCCAGCAGTGCAAAACAACCCAACATGAAAACATGACAAAAACAAGACAAGAATAGAGTTGTGCATTTAAGTGAAGGACAGCTGATTTCTGTTATTGTGGATTTGTGTTTCCTGGTTTTGTGTTTAGAAATTGTTGTCAGAAAAGAGTAAAAAAAACTAATATATATACACATGTATATTAGGGCTGTCGAATGATTAACATTTTTTAATTGGGACTAATTGCTCAATTTTTTTTTTCAAAACTTTTTCTTTATTGACTTTTGAGACATACAGATATATGTTTGATGGGTTCTTCAGTAAAATAAGAGTAAAAAAACAAACTAAAAACTAAAACAAAGAAAAGGAGACAACTAGGACACAAACCGAGCTCGGCCGTTCAACGAGTTACAAAAAGAAATAAACACAGGATGTATCTGAGGTAACTTTAGCACATTATACAGAAGGGCTATAAAAGACAAACGAAGGAAAACCAATCAAGTTTTTCTATACTTGTAACATGCACACATATACATGAATATGCAGAGACATACATAAAAGAGGGATGTACACATACCACTACCACAGAATTCAGCAAGAGAAAAATAAATAAAATGTAAGAGATAAAATAAAAATACAAAAACCCTGGTGTTCTAATTGCTCAATTTTAAAGGGGTCATATTCTTCTTTTTCTGGTTTTATCTGCTCTTTAGTGTGTTTTCCAAGTGTCCTGTGCATGTTTAGACACATCTATGTGCAAAAATTCAAAGTCCGCGGAAACGCAGCTTCTCCTACGTCCTCCTGTTAGCTGTAGCATTAGCCGCATGTAACGCTCAGTTCTAGCCCCCCTCGATAAAGATTTGCCAGTGTGACGTCTTGTCAGTGTGAGATCACTAATCTAAGCCCATTGGCTCGTTGTGGCCCAGCAGCTCATGTTGCACGCCCATTAACTTCTGTAGCACGCCCACAATATGTCGTAGCCTGCGGTAGCACAGTAGTGCTAAGGTGCTAATGTTTTTGCTCGGTCCTCTGAGCCAAATGGTTGCATTCCCAATATGGTAAAAGGGGCGGGACATTTCCGAGAACCGTGCTGAGTGACTGACCAATTACGGCAGAGCCGACAGGCCGACCAATCAGATCAGACTTGGCACACGTGGGGACTCTGAACGTGGGCACTTCAGAGCCTTAGAGAGAGAGTCAGAAGAGAGCCGGTGCATGGAGCGACAGTTCATGAAAACAGACACTTTTTTATAACTTTAGCTATTGTGAACATACGTAGGTACATAGATTAAATATATGAACCCCAAAAAGGGCAGAATATGACCTCTTTAATAGTGAATCACAAAAAGAAATAAAGCAAGAGAGAGAGAGATCCTGTGTCACATACATTCCCTTTCTGTCTTGATGTGACTGCAGGTTCTTACTTGGTTTTTGGGCAAATGTGCAATTTACACCAGCACATTGTAATGATGCCCAATACACCAGCACTCAAGCACTCTACCTCTCGTCCCCTCACGCTTGATGCACTTTAACTCAGACAGTCACTTTAGAGCTGGTTTGTTTCGAGCATATTGTTATAGACGCGTCTCTGTCAACTAATGTGGAGTTCATATATCCTCGTTTGTTTTCTGCTTGTTGATGCCCTCCCTGTGTTTCACGAGGTTTTATGTCCTATTTTTTTTTGCTGCTGGGGGACTACATGGAAATGAGCCTATGACTATAATATGGTATATTTACATGTTTATGCACTGTCCCTATTTGAAATAAATACCAAGTGTAATATTCAAACATGCACATATCTTCATGTGACTGTACCCGGGCTGTAAGATGTTGTTCTACTTTAAGTCCTCGAGCAGCAGGCAGCACAGCCGCCTGCCAGAGGATCCCTCTTGAAAGTGCTGCCAGTGCTTTTTGATTTTGATTGAGGGGCTTCTAAAAATTACAAACAGAGAGAGAGAGGTGATTAAAATTTCACGTCCACTCCCCTCCACTCCAGCCCGCTGCTCTCCTCTCCTCTCCTCTCCTGCTGCCGTGTGGCTCGGCATAGCAATGGAGGTCTCTTCTTCCTCCTCTCCAACCACAGAGGTACAGAGAGAGAGGAATAACAGGTAGTGGCAGAATTTTTCCCTCTGCTTTTGCCTCCTCCTCTCTCTCTCTCCCCCCCTCCCTTCCCCTCCCTGTACCATCATCTCTCATCTCTCCCCCGTATTCAATCTCGCCCGGTCCCTGTCAGATCTATCACATTGTCTTTCTCACTTCCTCTCCTCACATCTCATCTTCACCTTCTCCTCTCTATCTCTCCATCACCTGTTTCTTATTATATGGCACTGCTGCCTCACTTTCTCCTTCCCACCCGATCTGCATCTACCATGCTTAAGAGAAAGGAGAAATTGGGGAAAGATGTAGATGCACAGGTTTTTTTTTTTTTTTTTTTGGCATGCGGTGAGTATCCTCTGCAGGTAGGCGAAGTGACAGACGGACCAAAGCACGCAGGCAGGTATAGGCGGGCGGGTGAGGCGCTTAATGCAATCGCTTCGCAGGCGGAATCTGCAGGGAGAGGAGGGTAGAGGTATCGCAAAAAAAAACAAAAAAAAAAACACATTAACCATTAAACACAGCTCTGCTCGATGCTAATTAACCCCGACTGGAGGCCCGAGGCAACGAGAGAGAGGGAGCGAGAGAGAGAGAGAGAGAGAGAGCGAGAAGGTAAGTTTGGGAGAGAAGAAGTAGTAGAAGAGGAGGCTGTACTGACAGATGAGGCAGAGAAATAACAAGAAAGAGAGAAGAAGAAAAAATAAGTGGGCTCATTTTCAGTGAACCCATTTGTGAGTCAATGACCATCTGTGTTTTACATTCGGCACTGATTTAGCCCCGTAGCTGTGTTTTCTTAGGATCCGGCACAATAGGTGAGCCGGTGCCTTTTTTTTTTCTTTTTTTGCAAACGGATCCAAAAAGGGGCGGAGGAGAAGAAAAAAACAGCAAGGAGAAGAGAACAGAAGTAGAATCACACTCAAAGAAAGATGCGTTCAAGAGAGACTCCGGGGCCAATTAGGGAATGGAGTGACAGCAGCAGAGGGGGTAGAGAGGGAGAAGCCTGCTTTATTTCTAAGTGGGATTTTGTCTGGAAACATATACACACATATGCATTCCCGCAAGAAACACACCAAGAATGAACGCACACACTCACTGATGAAGGGTACAATCATCATGTGTGCCGTTCAGTGCAAGCACCAGTCGTCCTTGGCTCTAATTGATATCTGAAAGCCCAGTAGAGCTCTCCTAGTTTCCTCCATGTTACCTTAGCAACAGAGCAAGGACGACCTCAAAAATTAAAAAGATGAGAGATAAAGCATGTGGGGTGTGTGTGGTGGTGGATAAAAAAAAAATTAAAAAACACACACAAGTGGAGTGTGAAACAGAGTGGGGGGAATAAACATCCACACGCGCGCATTAGCGACTCACAGTGGAAAACTATTACTTACATAATGAAGCATGTAATCGCGCCAGCACTGATAAGCATTTAAAGATCCAGTGTGAATGCACTCGGCTAAATTAATCAAGAGGCAATCACATGGACCCCCCCCCCCTTTTTGTGGAGACAATATTGGAATGCAGAAAGAGCTGGGAATTGAAAGCACCGCGAGGCGTTAGAGAGCAAACACCATGTGACTGAGAGAGCAGATTTTGGCAGCGAGGAGGTTGTTTTTTCCGAGGAGAGATTTTTCATTTGGCTCAGGATTGTTATGAGGCTGATTGTCGAGGTCAAATGGCTTCACACTCAATTAAAATATGTTAACTGCTGCAGCAATTAGCACGTATAATGGCATGGCTTTCTCCCGATAATTCCCCTGTGTTTAGTCTCAAACTCGTCACCAAGGCAATATAAAGCAATGTCAAAAAAAGAAAAGAAAAGAAAATCCTCTGTTTTTCAAACTTTTTGTTTACTTCACAGAAATACCAACAGAAATTCAACCTCAACCTCGGATATTTCCCCAGACAAAAAGGAGTGTGCGGGATTCAGTTATCGAGCAAAAATACAAACAAGGGGTGGAAGAAATAGTCAATAGGTCTTTGACAGCACGAGAGCTGCAGCAGAGGCGTTACAGCTGTGCAGCAGCGTTCATTGGCAGCTGTACGGTTTGTCAGATGAAACATGGTTATGTCCAATACAATCCCAGGTTCATTGTTCAATCATGTTTGGAGACACCCGACAAAACGAGGCGTCAGAGGAAGGGGGCAGGCTCAGGTCTTATATGAGATATAGAGAGACTAGGGGTGTGATTTAGGAGAACATGTTTTGCAAATGAGCATTTCTGTGTAGATGTTTTTAAGACAGGCCGGTGATCAGAATAAAATGTAGTACATAAATTACAAGAAGT